CACAATTTTTCTTTTTGTATTTACTTGCACTATTCTTTCCGTTTTTCTGTTTTATTGTGTCGCACTGTTGGTGGAGCCTGTGACCTAAGATTTTCATCGTCATAACTACTTTGTAGCTATGACTAATAAAAGCCTTGAACCTTGGAGACATTTCAGGCAGGAGGACTCAATAGCTCAACACTAAGACAGACTATAGTTCCGAAAAAAGTTATTTACCTGCTAGAATTGCTACCAAGGGAGTAGATAAACAGATCTGGCAAACAAGTCCATCAAGGAGAAGACAAAGTTCAGGTAAGAAAGCAGTGATCAAGGAAATCAGGAACACAAAAACAACCCTCTCTAAAAGGAGAGAAGGATAATGGGGCGGTATAATTCAGGCATTAGTTGTGTAAGAGCATTGGCCAACTTTGATTGCAGGGCTATGATGGGAGGCTAGTTCCAGTCATACATAAAGAGCACATTATTTTCTGCTTTGGCATTCACAGTTAATTTTGTCATTCAGTTGGTCTGTTGGGCAACATTTTAGTAAGGAGCAACATTTCTGTCCAGCTGGTAGTTTGCAATTCGATTTGATATGGACATTCGTGGTGCCAAGAGAATGATTTGAAGAGATTCTTGTAACCCTCTAAAAACTTTCCTCTAAAGCCACCGTCAGGTCAAGCTTTTGCTTTAATGACACTTTGAACCATGAAATGTGTTATTGACCATCCTGCCCCCCCCCAGAGCTAGAACCTTTTAAAACTCCATGAGCTTCCTTATGCAACCCTATTATATTAAAATGTCAAGTGTGAACAGAGATTATGCCATATGTTAGCTAATGAAGTAGATTCATTATACACATAATTAATTCCTTTTTTTTTAAATTAAAGGTCAACTATTGTGCAAAATCCACATGTGTCCCCTCTGTGTAAAGAGATTCTGAACGTTTCAGGAACAAAGATTCTCTCTCTTTTTGTCCTGATCCATTTATATAAAAACCTGTCTGAAAATGAGCTGATCAGATTTTGGCCACTTTATGATGTCATAACGATTTTTTGGCTTGTGTAACCATTTGCCAATCACCAACCAAGGTAACAGTAGCTAAGTAAGAAGGTAATGCTAGCACTAGTCAGGCTTGTTGGTGATTTGCTTACAAGAACAAATGAAAAGCCAACATACATTACAAGCGGTTAAACTAGCGTAGTCGTTGTGTTTCTATGCGGAGAGCGGAGCCGCTGGACAAAGTGAAAGTGTCTTGAATCCAAAATGCACCATCATCACAAACAACCCACATAGTTCAGTGTCAAATAGCAGGCAGCTAGCAGCTGGTCGCCAGGCTGCTACCCACCTGTCACTCAAGGTGACCACACTCTATATTATTAATAACTTCCAGATATGATATCATTTTAACGAGTTACATAAAATCGGGGAAATTAGCTATGGAAAATAGAACCATATTTTCATGCCAGGCTGTAAACATGTTTATAATCCACTGTAAAGTCTCACATTTTAACATGGGGTCTATGGAGATTGACTTGTTCGGATTCAGCCCTCAAGTGGCCATTTAAGTAACGCACAGAACCAGACACGCACACCGACACACACCTCAGTTTTGGACTTAATCTAGTGGTGGATAAGCTACAGCCTCAATCAAACAGTCCATTTCAATTGCAGACCTTTCTCCACTTGAGAGATAATTACCCCCATTATTCCATTGATGAAGAGGCACCTGAAAAATCCCTTTAATGTTTTACCCTCTTTGTGTTTTAGAGCCACAACACCGCTTGCATCCTGCATAAAGCAAAAAGTTCTTTAAAAAAAAGGGAGTAATGTCCGTGTGGGCGCTGGTTCAACCCTTAGAAAACCCAAATGTCCACCTGTGTCAAACTGAGGGAAGGGACCATTAAACGCCTCCTGCTGCTTTTCAAAAATATCAATGCAACATAATCTATCCTAGATATGAAACGTAACGAAATAGAACGTTTTTTCTTCAAATATTACCTAAGTATAGTTCTTGTTATTCATTCGTTTCAGCCCCTCTTTCCCTGCTCTTCCCCACAGAGGTTTCTTTGGCATGGTAGCCATCCTCATTTGTTTTGCAAACTAATTCAGGGCTATCAGCAGCTACACCCATTCATTAGGCAGCCATTGGGGAGCAGAGGGAGTTCGTCACAGCGAGGTCACTGCAGGAGGTTTCCATTATTCAAATCTCTCAATGAGGTTCATGTAAACCTCTTACTACATAACAAACTATGAACCTATACAAGATATGTTCTAAAGCAGGGGTACTCAAAACTTTTTTGATCAAGGTCCACTTGTGAACTTTATACAAGGTCACTGGTCCGGATCAATGCCAGTAAAGTCCCCCCAAATGGACCAATCCGCGGAGCACCTCGCACACCAGGGTCCCTTGGCTAACTAACAGGGAGTCCCCATTGACTTGCATAGAGCTCCCTCAACGCTGGTAATAGACGAGTTGGGATGGCGGAGAAATGCTCTCCGCAGACCCATTCTCACAGCGTTATAAACCTTTTTCTTACTCAATATCAAGCCACACTTATTGTTTTTACTTCGGCTGTGAGTGTTTGTGTGTGCTCAGGATGAGTTTCATTTGTTCTCGCTGTATCACCGACCCGGAAACCTGTCCGCTCCTAGCAGCAGCGAGCAGCAGCGAGCAGCAGCGGCAAGCAGCAACGAGCCTCGCAACGAGCCTCGCAACGTCCCGACCAATCAGAGCACACTGGGCTCACAGGGAGGGGGGGGGGGGGGCAGGAGCTCCAACAAGCCGTTTAGGACAGAGAGTGAATACACATACTATACAGAGATGCTGTATGAGAAACCAATGTGATTTTGGAAAATTGCACAATTTAAATATATTCTAGTAGACCTCAACAATGGAAATATGATCAGTAGAAATGGCCATGACATGGGACCTTTAACATTTTGAATTTTTGGCATTCCTACTATATTCCCAACATATTTTATGGAGTCACTTATTAGGGGCAAATCTATAGAGACAGATTCAGTGGTGTTTTTAATCTCCTATGAATTCCGGGTCTTGAAATGACAAGCCACATTATAAATGAATATGCTGCTCTCTTCTGGTTTTTGCTATGAACTACAGATTGTTAACCACAAATAGAAACACAGAACAAATCTAACCTTCAGGACTAAAGTCTGAAGCCTGAAACAGGGTCAGTGGAGTCTCTGAAAGACAAGAAAAATACAAATATTGCAATAATGCATACCCTATAGTGCTCTTCTCTTTTGATGCTTGAATCCAGGCAGGACAGGGTAAAACAAAGGAGACTTCTGTGACATGTTACAAACAACGATCTGACAAAGACCAACACAAGACCAGCACTTAAATACCAGCAGAACTAATCACAAGGGTACCAGGTGAAAAGAATCAGACAATCAATCAGGCATGAAAACACAGAGACAGGAAGTAAAAACAGACATTTCACTGGGGGTTTCCAAAATCAAACAGGAAACACTGACAGATGATCACAATTTCGGAAAATGTTCACACTTTAAAATACTTCCATTTCTGAACAGACTTTCCAAAACCAGCTTAAAACACACATCATAAAAATTGGTTGGTCACATATCATATAAACAGAATTATGGGGTTTAAAGGATTTGAACTTTGTCCCTACACCTCCCACCTGAACGCAAAGCCAACACATCATTAGTGAATCCTTCAATTGAACTTAAAGATCAAACTCACATCCACAGCTCATTAAATATACCGCTGATTAAAAGTCTAACATGCATGCCCACAAGCTTTTGAAGTTAGCATTAGTGGGATTCATTACTGTTATGTAATGACTGAAATTCCAATTATAATCCCTTACACTACTCGTTTCTAAAACAAATTATCTCATAAGTGTAAACTATAAGTAAGTTGTTAAGTTGTCCAACACATGCATGTCATTCCCATAATACTTAATGTACACATTACATTTGACGAGTCCCTTAAAACCCTGCAATGAGTTATCATTTTACAATTCGTTCAATTCGTTCTGGGATTATGACCGTCGCCCCGCTCTGTAAATTAGGAAGGATTATGTTAATAAAATAATTAAAATCTTGAAAATTATCCCTTTAAGGTACATTTCATGCAAAATTAAATATTTAATTTCGATTTACAAAAATAAATTACTAACGGCTTTCGGTAGTGAATTTTCGTCCTTCTTTCTTCTTCCCTTTTGTTCTTCACATATAAACCTTTCCTTTACTTCCCATAAAATACTATAAAGGTTATTGCTGATTAGAGAAGTCATTACATTTAAATAAATCATTCTTCCTCTTAATACAACGATAACATGATTATAAAATGTGATGACACTCAAGTACCCTGTGTTTAGAGGAATTTTAAAATGACTGAGATGAAAACATGAATTGTATACAGGGTATTTGCACATGTCGTATACTGTTTTGCACTTCAGCCTCTGTTGGTACAATTGAGTATTACAACATGAAACACTTAATAATTCTGACAACAACAAACACCTCTTAAAAAATAAAAGAGTAAGTCATAAATTACATTAGACAAATTTTCATCGCACATTTTTTGCAATATAGTATATATTAAAACAAGTTTAGAAGTATAGATATGCCCCCAGACCATTTTTGAGGTGTTAGCTGGTCTCTATAATCACAGGAATGTATACAGAAAAAGAAAACGGAGTTGTCCACAGAATTCAGCTTAATTTGCTTATGTATTTATTACAATTACTGTTTTAATACATATACACTGATTCATTTGAGTGTATCAAACTGCAAACTTTAATTAAATAAAGTTCATAAATATACATACTAATAATGGTGTTAAATCCTATACATTTAGTGGAGTAAAAGTAACATGTTTTAACTCTTGAGATGTAGAGATATAGTGGAGTATTAATTCATAATCAAGACCTGGCCACCATGTGAGCCTCGGAATGACTCAGTGATCATGCAGCCTCGCCCCCAGGCTCGTACACGCCGCCACCTCCAGTCACACACACTCACACATATTCACACACATTCACACACACTCACACACTGCAGCTGTCCTCAGGGAGCAGAGTGCAGCCACACACCAGTTCCTGGAGATATACTATACAGAGAAAAGAACACAATATGAGAGTCAGCCTGCAAACTCTGATAACATGTGAGTAACATCAATGCATGATATTTGACGTGGTGACTAGTGTTCAAATCTGATCTCTTTGTCTTTATAGATGTGTCAATGTTTCAAGCACGTCAGAATATGGGGATGAATACATCTCAAGTTAATCAAGATTATAATTGAATAATTTGCCGAAATTTCAGGGAGGTAGAGGGAATGCAGACCACTTTAAAACGTTGACACCTCAACTCCCACGTGTGAAAAATGATTTTCTTGCTATTCATTGTAGCTCTTAACCCTTGCGATTGTTAGAAATCTCTCCAAATGTTACTTAAGTTGCTGCTTGGAGGAGACCTCTTTCCTATTTACAACTATTTTAGGTCTGGCTAATACTTTGTCACAATTTAAGTTGCAGGTTTTCTCAAGAGCAGTTCTTCTACCGGTTGCAAGATAGTGTTGCAAGATAAATCTCACTTCAAAAGATTATAAATCAATCTCCCTGGTTGGGGTGAATGCTTATATATTGTGTCAAGTTTGACTTGATGGCAAGCTCTAAGATCTCTGTTATTTTTAACAACCAAGTCATGCACATCGGATAGATTTTTAGTTTGTACTCTTCGTGTCTTGGTGATCATTAAACAGATTTGAGTTGCACTACTGCAGAGGCAGGAAATCCTTTTTGACGCTGAACAAACCACCGTGCTGTTTTGAGACCTGTGGTTAGTAATGGAGGTTTTACAACACAGTATAATATGTTCTGACTTTTGAAGTTGGTTTCAAGAAGAACTATGAAGTGACTTTCTCTCTAAACTTTTCTAAAAAGACTTAATGTAATGAACAGTGACAAGCATGCTGACTTCCTATTAATTTAAAAACTGATATCAAGCGCCCTTTTCTAGAGCATTCTGCTTCACATGACTGCTAACTGTTAGCCACTCAAGTATTGTATTTCTTTACTTTCTAAAAGTGAAGATGAAAGATTTAAAAATAAATGCGTTAGTGGTCCAGCTACTGGACAATGGGAACATGGTGTCCAACCTCCAGCCCATTGTTACCTGTTGAAGATCTTTCGAAGATCTTTTCGTTTTTCTACATACAGTAATAAATCAGTAGTGGATCCCGTGGTTGTAAGCCTAACTAAAAACACAGAGACAAGTTTTTTAAAGGGGTTCTCCAGCTAAATAATACTCACAATGAGATCTTCTAGAAAGACATTAGTGTCATTTGTTATATGTATTTGTGAGCATGCTGAGTAAAGTAACCTTAATATACTTATATATGTTTCTATTCAAGGCCATTTAAGATAATAACCATGCCACCATAATGTCCTAAGAGACTTTGGGGACCATACAAACCTCAATAATAGCTATTGCATGCCCATAAATGTGTGAAATGTACTTTAAACGTACGTCTTTTGTCTTGAATTGCAGGTCTTTTGTTGTGCGCTGCAGTAACAACCCAGGGGTCCTTAGCAGAAGCAGACCAACGGATAGAAAAACCTCCAATGAACATGAGGAACAGCACCCCCCCCCAGATTACAACTGCTCAATTAACTACTGTCCCACAAACAACCTCCACCAATCCTATCATGCCAGCTTCTACCACAATTACAGACAGCACTGAGGTAAACAACACACACTTGATTTGTATTTTAAAACAACCAGCCAGTATTCTCTATCTTCTACCTCATTGTCATCCATCTTAACTGACCCACAGGGAACCAGCATCAGCTCAAGCTCCGCCACCACCCAGGCCCCCACCACTTTAACAACCACTGGCCCCACCACCACCCAGACCCCCAACACAACCACTACCGATGGCACCATCCCGACTGAGACCACCAACACAACCACTACCGATGGCATCATCCCGACTGAGACCACCAACACAACCACTACCGATGGCACCATCCCGACTGAGACCACCGACACAACCACTACCGATGGCACCATCCCGACTGAGACCACCAACACAACCAATACCAACAACACCATTCCCACTGAGACCACCAGCTCTGCTGCTGCCACCCAAACCACCACACTGGAACATGAAGAACACAAGTCCAATGCTCTAAGCTCAGGTATGCATTGATAAAAAAGTTGTTTGTTTCATTACAATTTGCTCTAGTAACAGTGTTTATGCACACTCATTTATATACTTACTTACTTTTATTTTATACTCTAGACCAGCGGTTCCCAACCTTTTTCAACTCAGGGCCCACTTAAGAATCTAAAAAAAAAATGTGCGGCCCACATTCAAACATAAACAATATGGAGGCTAAATGAAGTTCTGATTGGTCAATTCAGAACATGTGACACATTGTTAGTCCAGTAGTAATGACCGTTGCAAAGGAGGATCAAGAAAGAGAAAGGATATGAGTTTCAAATAAAAAGAAATCTTAATAATGAAAATGTTTCCACACAAATCATAATGTTTTGCAAATTATTTGGCGGCCGACTTGCAATGCCTTCGCACAGGCTGGGAACTGCTGCCCTAGACAATAGACCTTTTGAAAAAAATGTAGGCATAACAACCAACACGGAATAGGTCCCGTTTCCGTAGTCCAAAGAAAAGTGAACCGTTCGAAGCATTTCAACCAAAACAAATTGTTTACGAACCCAACCTGCAAAGTTAGCTCACAGCGGGAAACGAAAAAAAGAATCCTTGACCTGAACCATGTAAGGAAAGAGAGGATGCAGTCTTGGGCGTAATAGTTACTTTTACAGGTATCTGGTCATAAACTCAAACAAAATATGTCCCAAGAAGTGATTTGAAGGTGGCTCAGCCAAAAATAATCCAGAACCAAGACTAGCCGTTTAATTAAGACCTTTTTTTAAAAGCACAGTCAAAATATATTGCCATTAAATACCCCACGTTTCATACATTGCCTAACGCTAAACACACCTTGGAAACCAACGAAACACAGGGGATCACACCTCTCTGATTAAAGAGTCCATGCATCACACTATCTGTGCACGCCTCTCTTTGACCCCTTTAAGCAGTGACTGTGTTGATCTATAGTTAATTTTTTAAAGCAATACTTTTTTTTCAGACTTCCTGGTTTACTTTGCAGATGAGACTTTAACAGTTGAACACCAGCTATTTGAAGTGCACCGGTTAATCCTTGCCCTAATTTTTGTTATGACATCCGCTCATTGCTACCACATCACTCAGTGTGGCAGAGCAGGCCAATCATTACAGAATTGTGAATAATTTATTTTGTGTGATTTATCTTTACTTTTCAGGTTGTATGTTCTGTCAACTCCTTTGAAAACATGGTTAGTTTTATCATATTGGTCGGTTTTAATCATATTGATTTAAACTTTTCAAATACACAGCCTCTCAGCTCTTCACATCTTGCCATTCTTACTACTTCGTAAGGTGTTTATTTGCCCTGTTTAAGTGCTCTTAAGTGAGGAACTAAAGCCCCAACAACTGCAGGTTTGAGGTGTTTACCTGCTCTAACTAAGTTTGGACTGTGTCCCCGTTGTAAAATAACTTCCTTCCCGACATAATTAGAAATTGATGCTGATAATGCATCTGACTCATAACTCTTAGGGTGTCTCTCTCTCTCTGTCGGTGGTTTTTGAACTTGACTGTTTCTACGTATGCTTCCATGAGATAAGGACAATTAAACTGATTAAAGTAAACACAGCAATGCTTTTTTGATGTATCAGTTGGGACACACCCTTTGAGGTGACTGAGTTAAGACCCTGGTTCCTCCAACTGAAATGAAACTTAAGAGTCTGAGTTCCTAGAAAACGTCCTGCATGGAAGAGATATACTGTAGAAAACTGCTGTACTGTAAGGAGAACTTTGATCCCATGACAGTTTCTCTAGAAGCAACATCAGGTTGAAATATTTGGCTTAAATTAGATGAATATTGTTGGGTTGGCTTAAAAGAAAGACAATCCAGGCAATCCAAAATCTAAAGAAAGACAGTGTAAGCAAGGAAAATCATTTAAAGTCTTAGTTTAAGTGGCTACATCATCCAAAATAATTTTTTCTAACATGTTGGCTTCTTACTTTTTACTAAAGTACCCAGTTTTTACATTTTGGAGTGCCTGGAAGACCTTCCTCTATATCAATTATGTTTCATTAGTATAGTGTTAAATATACAGAGCAATCAGTGATCTCTTATAACCAAAATATTGGATCCATTTCCAACTAGGTACAGACATCCCCTCATCATTAATCATTTGAATAACTTTGTTGGTCCCTGAACTTTCCACGCCATCAATATTTTTGTATGTGTTTTATATTGGTTTATGACCATAAACATATTTCCCATATTGTCACATTTTGAGATATATTCAATCAAGACAGTCGAATCGGCTTAACAGTCGCTAAAATCCACCATACAGTACATGCTTGTTAGAATTATTCCTGCAATGAAAGACTCGTAAAAATTGGTCACAGAGAGGTGGCTTGGTCCTTTAATGTCAGAATGTATTTGCCATTAAGCTGACACCTGGTTTCTCCCTCTGTAACGGTTATCATTACCTCCAATGCCTCCAAGGTGTCTCATTTGTATCTGGTATATTTTTGATTTAATCTCAACTGGTCAGTGAATGTTATTGTTTTTTTGTTGTCTTGTGGCCTGTAAAAAACATTGAACTTCACTTTTCTTTTTAAATGCTAAAGCTTATAATGTAGTATTTGCATCAAGTTGTAGTTTGTCTGAAGTGGTTGCTGTGCCATTTAAAATAGAAGGGAGTTTTCCAGACTGAGAAACACAAACCTTTATCTAACCTAACACTCCACCCACCAACGCTTAGTGAGTTCAAAGATCAGACATTTTAATTCCATGACGAGACTAAGATTGATGATCTACAGTAAACTAAGTCTACAAATATCTGAAAGTTCCTCACAGATCACTGTAACATTTTTACAAAGTTACCCATCACTTGGTGTTCCTTCAGCCTAGTGACTTCAATCAATGACCTTAGACAGTCGCTGCAAACTGCCTACAATAATTTCCCATGGCTTTTGTTTATGGATGGAATTCTGCTTTTATATAAGAGGAGTGATCTGTAGTGTCATTTCATCAGTATTATCTTGTACATATAAATAGAGCTCCTTCCTGCTTGGCCAAGTTTCCAGAAAGTAGATTAATAATGAATTCCTAAACTCAAAGGTCAACTTTTTGGCTGGAACAGGAATGATCTTTGGGTCATGGCACATTGTTGGGCAAAGTCAAGTTTTTCTTGATACAGTTAGAGATTTGGCAGGAGACGATTACAGTTGAGGCCATTCACTTACTGTACTTGTTTCTCTCAACTATGAGGCACGTTAAGGTGTGATGACATGACTTGCAACTTCATGCAACCCATGGATTGCACCTCGCACCTTTCCAAATATCGGAGACAATTCTGTGAAGTTTTAGGCCTCAAATTCATTCTGAAACCACATTTTTGCCATGTTTTGTTTTGGTCATTGCTCAAATGGTAATCTCTCTTGGCCAGTCCTGCAGTAAACCATTTGTTAAGGACTGTCAAATATCCAAAGTATTAGAAATTGCAAAAGAACAATGGTTCACACCCGATCAATTCCTATAATCTAATCCAGTGATTCTCAAATGGGGGTACGCGGACCCCTAGGGGTACGTTGGGGTACTGCAGGGGGTATGTGAGATAAAAAAATACTATGCATGATTACAAAAATAATCTCAGTACAATAAATTCAATAGAAAGCACCATTTTATATAAAATATTCCTAGAAACACTAAGGGGGTCCTCATATAAACATGTTACATTTGTGTATTGTATTTATAGTTTTTCATAATATATCATTTTGTTAATTGGTTTGTTAATTATTGTAATTATTTATATAGGCTTTTTCTGTCAAAAATGTCCGGGGTCGGTCAGGGGGTACTTGGCAGAGAAAATGTTTCAAAGGGGGTACATTACTGAAAAAAGTTTGAGAAGCACTGATCTAATCAGCTAACCCTAACCCCAAACCCTAACCCTAACCCTAACCCTAACCCTAACCCTAACCCTAGCCCTAACCCTAACCCATACATCTAATTGAATCCCAACTATGATTGACATTCATGTTTGGGATTAAATTGATTTAACAACTTTTATAAAGATGCAGATGTATTGCCATGGAATTTGATGCACTCTTTCACATTGCAATTAGATGATGGCATGGTCCTTACAATGTGGTTAAATTACAAGCGTCCAAACTAACACTAAAGAACGGCTAAAGATGGAAGCTACAGTACATTGCTCTCCTTGTTGTAGTTATGTCTTTAAATAGCAATATGTTTTTCTTCCATTTTTCAGAGGAGTGTAACAGGCAAAAGAGAAGCAGGATTAGAGATGGTGAAATAAAAACATGTTTTTGAATCAGAAGGAATATCTTCAGACTTATCTTCTATGTCTTTCTCTGTGTCTCATTTCAGGAAGTATTGCAGTGATTATTTGTGTGTTCCTCATCACCGTCATAGCCGTGTTTGTTGGTCTGTACTTCTACAGGATCCGGTGAGTCCAGAGCTTAAACAAACTCCTAAGTACATTATTCTACCGTCAATGTACTACAACGTTAGTGATGACATTTTCTGGCAACTGTTACACACTGGAAAAAATGCTGCTCCAAAAACAAGTTAACAAAAATGAAAACAAGCTGTTTTCACTTGAAATAAGTTCAAAGATCTGCCAATAGAACAAGAGAAAATTTGATTGGTAAGATTTCTTGAAATAAGAAGGGATATTTAGATGAATCAGATCTTGTAATTAGCTGGGAGAACTTATTTTGAACTATATTTGACCAGAATCAGGAAATGGTGTAAGCCGCAAATGCTCAAAACATTTCTGTTTTCTGATTTTAGTTGGTGATTTTCTAATAAATATGTAAACAAATATGTGTTTAATCTGAGATACAACTCAAAATAAGATTTGTTTACTTAACAAGATGATGCATTGTCTAAAAACAAGACCCGATATCTCACAGCATTGTTACTTGTGAAGTTATTGTGTCTTATATCAGGTGTAAATACATATTATGACTAGATATTAGACAAATATACTTGGCAGGATTTGGAGTTTTTGTAGTGCATCAAAGATCATATTCATATTAAAGTAACAGCAAAACAGCATCAGTGCTCTTAGCATCCCAGAGGAAAGTCAGTACCTTTTGGGTGAATCAGGCATAGTTCATTCAAATCACAATGAAAGATTATTTTTTTCGGATAGTTTTGGTTTTGTTCGTGGATGTTTTTGTTCTCTCAAGTTTCTGCTTTCACAATGAAGATGATTGGAGTTTGTTGAAGAACCAAACGCATGATTTAATTATCTCACCAGGCCGTAACATTTTAAATAAAAGTTTTTTTAAATAAAGTAAATATGGTGTGATCAGGTCTCATACTGACTATTCACACCAGAGAAATGAATAGATAAGATAAGATAATATATACTGTATTGATCCCAAATTGGGAAATGTTTTCGAATAGAAACTGTTCACAACCAAATTGAATTTGACCAATGAGATTATTTTTATTTCACATGTTCTTAAGACTACGGTCATCAAATCTTTGCTAAAGAATATTTTAGAGGGATTTCTTGTATTTTTCTTCTCAAGTCAACCTTTTCTCACTCTGTTTTCTGCTCTCCTTCTCCGTTCCAGACGAAGATCTTACAACCATCTTTTGGAAAGCAACGAACACTTTTTTGTAAACTTCAGCAACCCCATGTATGACTCTTAGATCTGAACCTTTGACCTCCGACTACGGAAGAGACCCAATTAACTCAAAGTTCGCAGGAGACCTTCTGATCAGAGTGTGTGTAAAGTGTGTGGCTAATGAGTTCAGCACGGTCACTTTTTAAAAACTGACATGCAGCCTTGATTAATGCAAAATGCAAAAAGAAATGACACGAAAACACTTTTTGTTGCTAGGTGTAGTAACCAAGGTAGGACATTTTTACTCAGGTAGCTTTTCCAACAGCTCTGGCCGTATTTTCACAGCGCAGAATCATATTACTAAAACTCATTATAAACATGTATATCAGGGGTATGATGAATTTCTCAGGATACTGGCATCTAGACTTATAAAAACAATAGGAAGCCAACCAGGATGCTTGAACAGTAAAACAAATTAAGTGCAATTTATGAATAAAATTAACAGTAGATCAAAATATTTTAGATTTATCACAGATTGTTTTATAGGCAACAACTAAGGTACTTTGTTCCCACGGCACTTACTGTGAAACGATAAGATTTCCATTGCAAACGTATGTTCACATTCAGTTGAAATATTAATCTGTTGTTAATCAAGCAATTATATTATGTATTTAGATAAAATGGAAATGCTTTAAAAAAAAAAAGGGTTAGCGCTTTAGCACCTTGGATTAAGATTAAGATTAAATCATTTTTTCATTGAAGAGTTGGGTTATTCTGTCCAAGGACAAACATACAGTCACATACAGTCCATTAAAGTGAGTTGTTTTCATATCACACACTTAAGACACTGAAGTTTCCTCGAGCGAAACACTGAATCCCTTCCTGCTATTCAGCTGAGCCTAAACTTCGACCTATCATTGGAGGAACCAAACAAGACAGCAATCATGTTAGGAGGGTGAATTTACAATAACTATTGCCTAAATATAATGTTGGGAATTTAATTTGGCTCCCTGATACCTGATCAACTATTGTATTTATTATTTTGTAGGTATTGATTGTGTATAGTGTAACGTTTTCTTCAGTGAGATTTTGCTTCGCTTAGGAGCTTAGGCCTTTCTGATATCTTGAATGTTTAATACATTATTGTTTGTTTGCATTCAGGTGAAGAATAATGTGACAACATTTTATTGTGAGATATGATTGTATTTCATTGTTTGTGTAATAAAGCCATTAAGAAAGACTGTAAGTCCCTGTGATGGTTGTGCAGGGGAATCTCAGGGAGCAACGTTGACCATCGTGAACACACAATGATCGAGTAATTGGTGGCAGACTTTCATTTTCCTGTCTAAATGATTTGCTTTTACTTTTGAGTCTTCATCTAGCAATCATCATCAATCAAAATTAGGATCTGTGAAGAACTTCAGTTTATGACCTATACAAATAATAACATTACCACCAACTACAGCAGTACTTTGTTTAGTGCAAAAGCTAGAATGCTAAAATACTAAACTAAGACGGATCAACACAGTTTACGATTTTAGGAGGTTAGCATTGCCGGAGTGAACACGTTACCATGCTATAGTTAGCATTGCGCTAACAATTACAGCCTCACAGAGCAGTTAGCATGGCCATACAATCAATCTTTTTCGAAGCTTCCTGGCTTTGTGTTTTGGCACAACATGAGGTTGTTTGTTGGGATATTTATAACAATAATCTAAGTCATAATTCTATTTGCTGCTGCACATTTTGACCTACGGAAACGTAGCCACTTCAGTAATGTTAATATAAAAGTGGGGCTAGAAAAAATCAATCGGTACATTGATTTGTTGAATTAGAAATGATAGAGTCATGAAAAATAATCTTTAGGGTTCAGATCTTTATTTCTGTTCTGCAAAAATATCTAATGTAGCTATCTCAACCGAAAAGCATGGCCGCTTTTAAAACATGTGAAACACAGTGATGTGATACTGGACACAGTGTTTACTTAAAATGAACATGGATGCTGAGGTTCAGTTCAGCTCAATATCTTCAGCTCCTCAATGGGCTGCAGAGCATGTATTAGAGGAAGCTTTAATAACTGTCCTGTCATCACTGCCCTCCCATCGTATCTGCTCCCATTCTTTATCTTCCTCAAGCCCCTCTCCTAAGGCATCTTCCTCTCGTGCCCACGCTCTTCTTCTCTCTCCCTATTTCACCCAACACCATCCGCCTCATGTTGTTTGTCCAACCTCCCATTTTCATCTCAATTGAAATTCACACAATATCAACTCTGGCTTTGTTACTCA